AATTAAACGGATTAAGTTACACCAGCTTTTTAAAGTTTGGAAAAGACCGCATAGTTTTCTTCACAAGCAATTTATTACAGGACTGTTACAAACCCAACATGTTTCGAGTGTATCATCAGGCCCTGCCCGGGAGTATGAGTAGTTGTGCAGAACATTGTGTATTTCTTACCAACAGTATTTTGAAATCTCTCTGAAAACTCAATGAAATTTCGTCTCTTGAAGCCTGAAAACAAGAATGATTTAAATCTCATCTTGCTGTTAATTTCAGCTTGTCGGTGGTTTGGAGGTCCTCCTAGATGGATTGTTTAATCCTCCGGCACCGCAGCGGCACCATCATGCGGGCAGTTAAATTTGAAAGTCTGCGATCTGCTATTTACAATCGAGTGACTTTTATCATTTTATTTATAAATCCAGTTGGTTGTTTTTAAGTGCAGTGTGCAGCCGCGTTGCATAAGCCTTTAGAAACGGCTCTCGCGCCTATTATGCAACAACTGCCGCAGATAATATGCAGTTGTCTTTGCTCAAGTTAATGAATTGTTTGTTCCAGATATCAGTTCTTACAAAAATCATTGGTTAATGGTGCACGGACCGGCGGTTTTCGCGACCTTGCGAAGAATTAACCGTTCATTGTCTTTCAAACTGGATTTTTTAAGCGATTTACGCGATAAGATACGATCCAGACCTGAAATCAGTCGAATGTGGCTAGTTGAGCCTGGGAGGAGGCTTACATGATGCGAAACTGTAAAAAAACAAGGAATTTTTTGCAGAAAATGGGAATTAACATCTAAAAAATTGACGACCGCAATAGATGGAAGAAAAACTGAAAGACCATCGAAACAACCAGTTTCTAGGCAGGCAATTCTGGCCTTGATGAGCTGATGAACGTTCAAGAAATCAAGCCATCAATGGTTTAGCAGAAAATATGCAAACCGGATCGGTCATGACCTTAAGGCACTCTCACTTTTCTAATGTCGCTGATGAGAACATTTTTCATGTCATTTGGGTAGTTACTAATCATTCAAGAACTTTGTCATCGAGAACAGCAGAAGAAATTTCGTTAATTGGCAACAAAAAAGGTTCTACCCCTCGTACTTGTTGCAAGAAGCTCCTTATTTAGTCTACACTAAGGGAGATTTTGTCGCTTCAGCACAAGTACTTTGTACGAAAATAGTAATGGCTCAAAATTTATAGATTGGCAAATTGGAAATCTTCCAAGGCCCGCTCCAAGACCATCAGAAAAGACAATAGGCAACGCGGGGATAATTATGCAAAAAACAGCAAAACCCCAGTGAAAATTAGGACAATGTCGAAAACATTAATCCTCAGAGAAACGTGCAATTCTTCTTCTTTGCCCAGCTGAAGAGTTATCAAAAACTTCACCCGAAAAACGCAAAAATCTTCCAACGGGCGAAAAAAATTAGCATTTATTTCATTGCAAAACGCGATTCAACTCAGTGTTGAACGCATGGAAATGTAAATGCTCATCACTGAAGTGATTTTTGAAAAAACAAACATGAGGAGAAGATCTGAGAAATGTACAGAAATAAAGAAAAAAGACAGAGTTCCAAAGACACATTTCTCAAGAATGAAGAAAAGTAAAGCAGGAAGAAATAGAAGAAAAAGCCATCAACGCGACCAAAGCTTTGATGATTTCAATGTAAATAAAAGAAGGAGACAAATAAGTTGCAAGTACATAAGAACTTGTTGTGGACGACGACAGTTTTGAAAAAACTTAGGAAAAATTAATAGAAATCTCGCACAAAGTGATAAGATCCCATTTCTCTATGAACAGAAAATCGACCACCAATAACATGATAAATGAGATTGAAGCAGACGTAAAATCGCCTCCCGAAGAAAGAGCTTCAGAACCGGCCAGAATACAAACAGAAGCTCAATCTTTTAAAGATTTTTTAAGACAGAGGTTTTAAAAAATGTTTGACAATATCCCGAAGAATGGCCTAATTTTGAAATTATTGCCGAAAAAACAAGGGGCAAACGATTGCAGAAAATATAAAACCATCAGCTTAATGATCCATGTACTCAACATTTCCAGAAAATTACCTGTCTATTGTAGAATATACAAGCTATGCGACGAAATATTATTCTGCATACTGAAGAAATACGTAGAAAAGCTCCGGAAAATGGTGCAAATAAAACTGTGTGAAATGGAGCACAACTAAATAAAATCCGATATGCAGATGATACCGTCATGCCTGCAGATGAGTTGGAATCGCTTCCGCAGCTAATGTTAAAATGAAAATTGTAAAAAAACTGCGAAATATTGCTTACGAGCTTCGCGAGACTTGGCGCTGCTGTCCGATATTGATAGAGATCGTCCATTTAAATGAACAGGGAGAAAAATGCAGTCGCAACAGAAAGAAAGAACGGTGCATTGGAAAGGACTTGAACAGCGCAGGAAGCTTTGAAACTGTTTCGAACAAACAGTCAAAAAATTATTAACAAAAGGTCTGGAAGTCAATTTGAGCAGTTTTGCGCTCAAAAGCGCCAAGTTAGTTTCGTGAATATTCAGTTGGCTCAAAATGACTTGCACCCTATAACCGCTTGAATGTGAACAAAATTTTTGGCCATTTTGGATCAGAAGGATGTCGTTACACACATATTCTCGTTGAAACCGCAAAAACTTGCAGTGTAAGTACAACAATGTAATATTACAGTAAATAAATTAAATTGTATCAAACCCAACAGATTATTTTCTCATTGGTATTATAGTCGGCCTATTGAATTAGCAGCGTATAATACCAACTCTAAGTTACTAATAGCTGCCCATTTTTAACGTAATAAATTAATTATAGCTGTATTGTAACATTAAGGCGGCTCTGCCTTGGATAGGTGGCATAAACAGCAACTCATTACATGGAGAGTGGCGTATTATTGACTCGCGCCATAAAGTTACATAAATTTGAATGTTTTTGCATCAGTTAGGTAAAGAGTATTTCCGTTTCTTTCACTATCCTGAACTTTTTCCACCAGGCGAACATATAATTTTTGATAAAAGTACGCAGACACGCCTAATTGCCAGCGTAAAACTAACTCATGGTTCACAAAGGCGTAAAATTCGCATATAACACGGTCCAGTGTTCGCCATTATTGTTTGCTAGTAAAACATCATAAGCTCGGGTTCTTTGACATATCTAATGATGTGGGAAATCGGCCAAGTGCTCAGATTGCCCAAAAAAAACCAGTAAAGCGAAAAAAAGCAGGTTAATTTCGTGGATAAAGCCAATGGTGCAGGGAGGAAATCTGGATCAAGTTCGTTCAAATGATAAAAACTCAATTATTCTAATGGAATTTGGCAAAGAACGGGTTTTGATGTTTTAAATTTCCATATAATTAAAATATTTTATGTTACCAAGAAGCCAATTAAATCAAAGACTGGGCCACATGAGTGTGCTCTATGAGCTCCTTAGGTTACCCGGGCCTCACTCCGCTTTCCCCTTGGCTGTCCTTTCCACTGCGGGACAAATTAAAATTTCCACATTTCCTTTTGAAAAATCGGCAGCAGTTGAAGAAATGTATCACAACGTGGCAATTGCAGAAGTTATAGAGCCGAATCTACCCTACAAGCACGCAAAAAAGGTTCTTTCGAGCTGATTCTCACTTTGAGTGAACATTTTTTGAGGACAAACTTGTCGAATGCGATACTCGACAAAATCTGATTCGAACAATTGGGGAAAATGTGTAGCAAAGTGAAACTAGCAGGAGATAAAGAGCCTGCTTTCTTTTATACCAGAGCATTAAAGCCACCTTTCCAGCTGGTCTGATCTTTGAGTAACAATTTTTTGAAGGAAGACCTCTCGAGCTGATCCGAAACAAATTAAGGTTTTAACATCCGAAATTGGAAAATCCTCAACAAATTGGCAAAAAAGTGTCGCAAAGCGAAACTAGTAGGACATATAGTGCTACATTTTCTCTGTTCAACCTTGTGACTTTCTCATGGTCTCTGAGTAAGAATTTCTTTGAAGACAGAACTGGCCAGCAGTTGGAGAAAATTGAAACTCTCAACCATTCAAAAATGGAAAATCACCAACAATTTATGAAAAACCCTAGCAGAGTGCCATTAGCATGAATCACAGACACTAGTTTTTTCTATAGAAGGGTATAAAAATGAAGTTCTAGCTGGTCTCGAGGGACACTTTTTTGGAGACAAACTTGCCAAATCCGATACAAGACAAATTATGATTCGAGCATTCATTTATTAGTATCAGAATGCGGACCTTAGATTCAATTCAATCGCGCTTTTGAGTAGTGGATTAGTATCGGTTGTTGTTCGGTATCGAATTTTTACTCATTATTTACACTAATAATTAAGTTTGTGCTAGAAATTATGTCTGTCCATTGCAGATTTGCTGACAATTTCCAGCTGAGACGTTAATTTATTAGTAACGTTTAAACAAAGTTAAATAATATACAGTATAATAATAGCTATTCAATACATAATGAGTTACATAACTCACCTACTAGTTAGGAGTAATTTATTATTTTTATGTTGATTAAAATACTAATTTGATGAGCTAACAAATAACCGAAATTCGAGTAGTTAACTAGCACGGCTTACGAAAATCTTGCCTTTAAAGAATGAAAAGACAATAGCTGACCCAACTTATTGTAGTGATGAAGAAACGTGAATTAAGCTCTTTAAAAAAATCGGTTGATTAATGTGATATGCCACCGTTACAGTATATGATTTCATAAAGTGCCATTATTTTCAATCCCACAGATCCTGCAATGGATTGTTCGGTCGGAGAATCGGTCGAGAGAAATTTATCACTTTTCAACAATTTTTTTGGCCATTTCGCTTGCATCATCTAATATTGTAAAGATCAGTGTGATATGAGTAAGCGCCGGATCAATTATTACCATGGTTATGTAAACGTTTCTCCTGTTCATGGAGAATTTTTACGGTTTTCTTTGGTTGATTTTTTGCTTTTCATGCTGTTGAGAAACTGTGTGTGGCGATTTATAAAAAATTCTACACTTACCATCTAAAAAAATTCTTTTCATCCTGGTGAAGCTGGACATTACTAAGACTCTGCTGAAACAAGAAATAGTCTGAATTAGAAAAAAAACACGTTTCTACTAGTTTGGAGTAGCTAAATGCAAAAGGCAAAAAATTTAATTATATTTAAAAAAAATTTCGTTTAATATTTTATTTGGTTGGGGCGTTTTTTTCCAGCTGAGCAAATTGTTGTCAAGCACTGCTCTCGCCATCAAAACTTTACAGTTAAGATTCGCAGCCCTCCAATCAGCTCTGTAACTCCGCCTACTTTGGGCGTTTTCTTTCTTTTTCAAGCACACATGTTTACCTGTGCGCCTTGTTGCGCTCATTCTTTCGTTTATCCGACTTATAAGCGAATTTCTGTATTTTAAGCGAAAAATTTCCAAAATTACTTAGAGTATTTAAACTAAAGGTGAAAGGTGGCGTTTGAAACGTTAGCTTGAACTTGGAGAAATTAATATTCATAATCAATCAAATCAATTTGGAGCATTTGAGATTGCAAAATACGGCGTTTTCGAGGGAGTAAGTGATACGTACGACTGATAATTGATGTAGAGTTTTGAAAAAAAATGTAGGTTAATAGAACCGCCTTCACTTCGGTTGTCTTACGTTCTGTAATGATTTGTTATTACAATCGCCTGATACATTTCTTAATTAATACGTAATACCATTTACAAAAGCGATTTATTATTCTAATGTCTTAATAGTTCACAGGCCCTGATTTTAGCCGGGTTTAATTGACAATTCCTGAGCGATTGGGTAATATTGCGACCTTTGGGTCTTATCAACGTTTGCCTGTTGGCTTGCAGTCGCTTTGTTCGAAAAATTTTGCTTTTGTCTTGAGAAATGGCGCTCCAATTGGGTTTTAGACCATAATCGGTTCAGTGAAAATCAACTTTGTGTGCATTCCTACTGACCACAAGTATTCCAGTGACTTGCAATATCCATTACAATGTCAATAAACGTTTGTTCTATTCGAAATTTACGACACACGTTTTTGTTATGCTATTTCATGATTTTTCCATAAACAATCAAATCGTATTATGTCGATTTACTATCTATTGTTGCAGGATTAGCAAACTATTTGTCACTGATAATAGCGACATTATTTCAAATAATTAATTTCCTTTAATGTCGATCTTGTTGTGTAATCAACAGTTTCTCGGTCGTATTGTTCTTTTCTCACCCACATCGACAATACTTGGTGATACTTATCTGTCCTTTGGTCTCAAGACCTCTGCTTGAGCAATGGGTGTTTTTTTCTAGTCCATTCTATTTCACAATGTTTCCTAATCAAAATCACTGTTTTAACAGTTTTATTTAACATCTACCGAAGGAACTCGCTAAAACCATAAACAAACCTTCATTTCCTTATACCTTAGTAAATCTTCTTGTTAGCATCCATCATAATTGATGGCACGTTTGCGGCCAAATGAAACGAAATCGATCCTTGCGATCAATTTACATGCTTTATTTGCGAAAAAAATTAGGCATCAGCCATGAAAGTGAAAGTGCCGATTAGATTTTTGAAAACCGAATTAGCCTAAAATGTTTTATCGTGTTTTTTCAATCTAAATTGCTAATAATTCGACCAGAAGAGACTGTGCCCAACGTTAGGGCTCGAGCCATCAAAGACGGCTTCAACGCAATTAGTTCCAATTAAGCAATTTCCCTCTAATTCGACTGAAACAATGAATTATGTATCGGAGAAATTGGCGTTAATAGAAATTGGCTTCAGTGCTGATTTCGGTGCGCTTCAGTGATCGTTTGCCAAGCAACTGAAGCATCAATTTTTTTAGTCAAAACTGTTTGTAGAAATTATATAATTAGAAACTGGCGGTTTTTTCTAGATTTCAGTCGTCAGAAAGAAGTCACCAGTTTCAAGCAATGGCCCCGAAAGCTCAACACTTTTGAAAATCGTAGATACTGAAAATGGTGAGTATGTAGGCCGTAGTAAAAATAATTTTTTCGGAAGTTTCGCTGGCACGAGTGGCTTCCATCTTCAGCGGCGGTTTGCACGACGCAGTGTGGCATAAATAGTGCGTAATTTAAAGCTCTATTTCGCGATTGTACAGCGTCGGAAGTTAATTGGTTTTCTAACTATCAGTCAAACACTAAGAACGGTTTTTAAAATACGCATTAATTTTGAATTTTTGCGTTTTTTACGACAGCGGAAAAATTCTGAAAAGATGTTTGTTACAAAAAAGTGCGAAATTTAAGGCTCACTCCTGCAATGAGAACTCGAGCTTTGCAGCTCAACCGGATCTGCAAATCTGAACTAAAGATTTCAAGCGGTTGTTAAAACTGTGTTAATTTTGAATTTTCGCTTTTTCCAGGAGAACTAAAAACATTTCCCAAACGGTGCTTGGTATTAAAAAAAAGTGCGCAACTTAAAGCTCTATTTCGGAAAGGTGACATAAGCTTTGTTCCTCAACTCTTTCTCTAAATATGAGCGAAAAAACTAAAAGCGAAATATTTTCCCATTCAAGGTTCACTTTCTAAAAAGGCCATTTGAGGCCACTGAATCGACTTTTCAATTCTCTATCCAACGATGCCAAAAGGAATTCTGTGGCTCGAATGGTTCTTGAGAAACTTCGAAAAAAGCAGCGTCATGTTCAAGTGGATTTTGCAACTCAAAAAAAAACCACGCAAATCTTAAACTTCTTGATTTCAAGCATTTTTTGAGGAAACTGCCAATATTTCCTTATCCATGGCCCACTTTCTAAAAAGGCCATTTATTTCTGTCTAGAATGATGTACAAATGAGCGTCCTTGCCTCTGAGAAATAAGCAAAAATGGGATGGAAAACATGAAATTTTGGCATAATCTTGCACCTAAGTGTGTGATATTAAAATTTCGCTTTCTGGGCCAAAACTATTCGAATTTCCTCAATCACGTTGTTACGACTGAATCGACTTTTCAATTCTCTATCCAACGATGCCAAACGAATTCTGTGGCTCGAATGGTTCTTGAGAAACTGCGAAAAAAGCAGCGTCATGTTCAAATGGATTTTGCAACTCAAAAAAAAACCACGCAAATCTAAAACTTCTTGAATTGAAGCATTTTTTGAGAAAACAGCCAACATTTCCCCATCCAGGGTTCTGTCTAGAATGATGTACAAATGAGCGTTCTTGCTCATTTTGCCTCCGAGAAATGAGCAAAAATGGGATGAAAAACATGGAATTTGGCATCATCTTGCACCTAAGTGTCTGATATTCAAATTTGGCTTTCTGGGCCAAAACTATTCGAATTTCCTCACTCACGTTTTTACGGCTGAATCGAGTTTTCAATTCTCTATCCAACGATGCCAAAACGAATTCTGTGGCTCGAATGGTTCTTGAGAAACTTCGAAAAAAGCAGCGTCATGTTCAAGTGGATTTTGCAACTCAAAAAAAAAACACGCAAATCTGAAACTTCTTGATTTCAAGCTTTTTTTGAGAAAACTGCCAACATTTCCCCATCCATGGCTCACTTTCTAAAAGGGCCATTTATTTATCTCTAGAATGATATACAAATGAGCGTTCTTGCTCATTTTGCCTCCGAGATCCGAGAGAGTAAGTAACTATTCAAACAAACATTGTTTACTATCCTCAGGCCTTTTTGAAACAATCAATTGTTTTTAGTAACAGTTGCAGGCTCTACACAAGCCCATGTGTAAGCAGAAATAAATATTTACAACGCGATTTTGCGTTTCTTGTAAAGCCTGACCAAACTTTACATATTCTCAAAGGCCGACCACCGTCTGTTTCGGCATTGTGAACCAATTTTGCAATTTCCTGTCAATGTTTTACATACTGATTAGCCCGGTTTTGTTCGTAATGTTTTCTCGAATCGGTTTTCAGCTACGCAACATTACAACAGACATAAACAATTACAAGCCAGCAATTATTTTCTTGGGATTTTAATTGGGAAATGCTGGGGAAAATGGTCGAGTGGGCCAGTTATTCGGTGGCGGTTTCTTCCTGATATCTTGCGCGATTTCTGATCGTTGTACTACGACAAACCTTTTAAATAATTAGAAAGTACTGCATTGAGACCTTGGCAAGAGGTCTTTCAACATTATTAAATTGCTAACGGAATTTCTACGTTTATAGAATGTTTTATATCGGCGACCTTGTCTGCGCTACACTCTATTAAGTAATCATTTATAAACAAGACAGATGCTCATCTCCATTCTTCACTGATATATTCCTCAGGTCATGTAATTAATTGGTTTCGTAGCTGGTTTATCTCAGGGAGAAATACCTTCCACTAGTGGAAACCTTCTCTGCTGGCAATATCGACTTATTTAACTAACCGAACGGAATGCATAAGATGGCTATTTCGTATTCATACACGTTATGGTAACACTTCCTCGGTTCTATTTAAAATCGTACAACTTTCATTTTCACGCAAATATTGGTGATCTGACTTAATTTTATTGCTTATGCTGCCCAGCTCAGGTCATCGTGCATTATTCAAAGGATCGCCAGTTCAACAGCTTCAGCAGTTGAATTTTAGTTCGGTTTTTTAAATTTAGATCCTCCATCCTCCTTCTTATAGTCCAAATAGAAATTAACATTGCAGACCAACGTAAACGAGCAGTTTTTGCCATATTTAGCCCAACTTTCTACATAATAATCATTATTACGTAGCGGTCTATTTATTCCAGTTTTTGTAAGACAGTTTATTAAATAAAGGTTTATCTGCTGATTTATTGTTGTGATAACTCCAGATAAGGCCAACAATAACTAGGAGATCGGACAATGTGAATCGTTTACGTAACGCATTGTCCAGATAAAGGCCAGAAAATGAAAGTGGAATTTTTGTACGTGGGAATTCCTGAATGACGAAAAAAATGTTGTTGACGGACATTAGATTAGATTGAAATGACACAAAAAAGAAACGAAATTTAGGCAGCATTTTTTATAAGAAAAATTCATAGTGATGAGAATGATAGGAGTTGAGGAGCGGTGCAATCGGCGGTCGTTTCCCATGCCTCAGTGACCCCCAGCCCATTTAGTTCACACCGAAAGAGAGATTAATCATTTTGTCTTT